AATGGGGCCTTAGAACACAAAAGTGAAGATTTGATAAGTTAGCTGTGCCTAAGCATATCCTCACAAATGTACATTTTGTTCGGAATTCCTCCTGAAAAAGAGCAGTGTACTTCCTGCTATGTGTGTGCGCCTAAATCCTAATAAATGTATATCTGCAGTGTGAGACTGAAGGCACTGCTGCCTCTGACTGCCAGTCACAGGAGATCTGGAGGGAGATTCAGTGATTTCACTACTGTGCTGCTCACTTATAATAATGGCCAGAAAAGAAACGCAAACAGCAAAAATTGTAGTGTTCCTTTACAGTGGTGGTCAGTTGAGATGTGCCCCCTTACATTGGTGGACAGTTTAATAAGCCCCCTTATATAGGTTGTCAGTTAAGATGCGCCCTTAACATTGATGGTCAGTTGAGACTTAACCTCTTAAATTGGTGGTCAGTTGAGACATGCCCCCTTAGGGCCGTTCACATCACCTACGTACGTTAATCAAACGGTTCCATGCACGTCTCAACTGACCACCTTACGCTGGTGGGTCAGTTGAGACGTGCCCCCTTACGCTGGTGGGTCAGTTGAGACGTGCCCCCTTAGACCCCGTTCACATTGAGCGATTTATCGCGCGGTAATTCCCGCGATATCGCGGCAAATTACCGCGCGATATCGCACTCCAATGCAATCCAATGGGGCAAAGGGTCCTGCTGTCGCGGGTCGTGTGTCGCTACAGCAGGACCCTTTTTGGAGCGGATTTAGCCGCGATTCAAGCTTGCTCAATGCAAGCTTGAACGCGACATCGCGCTGCAAATCGCGCGATGTCGCGCAATATGCAAATTGCGCGATGTCGCGCAATATGCAAATTGCGCGATGTCGCGCAATATGCAAATTGCGCGATGTCGCGCAATATGCAAATTGCGCGATGTCGCGCAATATGCAAATCGCGCGATGTCACGCAATATGCAAATCGCGCAACAAACGCGCGATTTGCATATCGCACAGTGGGAACGGGGCCTTACGCTGGTGGGTCAGTTGAGACGTGCCCCCTTACGCTGGTGGGTCAGTTGAGGCGTGCCCCCTTACGCTGGTGGGTCAGTTGAGGCGTGCCCCCTTACGCTGGTGGGTCAGTTGAGGCGTGCCCCCTTAAGGCCGTGACACACTGCACGCGAAGCCGTGCAGAGCGAAGCAAAGCTATCCGGCACGGAGCTTTGCGTGCAGTGTGTGAGCTGAGTGCAGTCAGATGATTGACAGCACCTTCAGCCAATCGGCTCGTCCTTAACAACCTGCCAGCTGTCGCATCACGACGCGCTGGTTTATACGCGCGAGCCGATTGGCTGAAGTTGAAATTGTTCATCTCGGCACGCTCAGCTCTGCGAGCTCTCGCAAGCTGAGGTGCCGAGCAGAAAATGACATGACACACTGCTCGCAAAGGCAGCGCGCCCCCACTCCGCGCTGCTTTGCCTGCAGTGTGTCACGGCCTTTACGCTGGTGGGTCAGTTGAGGCGTGCCCCCTTACGCTGGTGGGCCAGTTGAGACGTGCCCCCTTACGCTGGTGGGCCAGTTGAGACGTGCCCGCTTACGCTGGTGGGCCAGTTGAGACGTGCCCCCTTACTTTGGTGGCTGATTAAGATTTACATTGGTGGTCATATGAGACGTTTGCCCTTACATGGTGTTCAATTGGAATAGGGCCCCTTTACTCTGATGATCAGAGGGAAGAATGCTTCTTTCATTAGTGGTCAATGGGGAGAGTTTTACCCTTTAGTTAGTTATCTGAGAGGCAGAAACAGTTCATTGCTCAAGGAACCCCCAGCAAGCTCTGGAGGAACCCTGGTTGAGAAAAGTTGGTGTATAACAAGATTTGCTGGCAGACCTATAATTGTCTGGCACTGCCTTCTGCCTCCTTTTTGTAACCCACACAGAACGTTATAACATATTTATTTCACCCAATTCTTACCATTCACTAGCAGGTCACACACTTCTACAGTCAGAATAACTGCAATGGCAAAACTTACACTTATGTCAGAATACCCATCTGAACGTCTGCAGATTACTAAATCAATATGCATTTTGCTTTTTATCTGCCCCTATTCACACTTGCGCGAGAGCGATTTCAGGCAATTTTAGAAGCGTTTTTTGCACACGTTTTTTCAAGCTTGAGCATCGTTTTAGCCAATGGAAAGCTAGTTACTAGGAGGAGGAGACGTGTGAAAAACTCAAGTTACAAGCACTTTTCAGTAACTTCCATTGAAGTCTAATGTGCCAAAAATAGGAAAAGGAATCACCAGCACTCAGTAGAATAATCCAACATGTCCATTTATTGGACATAGACGTCACACAATCACAAGAGCCAACGTTTCGCTACCACGCAGGGTCTCTTCATCAGGGCATAAAGAGTGACCACTCTGGTGATTCCTTTTCCTATTTTTGGCACATTAGACTTCAATGGAAGTTAATCAAAAGTGCTTGTAACTTGAGTTTTTCACACGTCTCCTCCTCCTAGTAACTAGCTTTCCATTGGCTAAAACGATGCTCAAGCTTGAAAAATGTTGGATTATTCTACTGAGTGCTGGTGATTCCTTTTCCTATATTGTGTCTGCACGGTGCCATCCGTGTTCATCACTACAAGCACCATTGTCTACATAGGCCTTGATTGCTGCAAGGTGTGCAGAGGATTTCCCCTTCTATCTAATGTGCCAAAAAAACACGAAATTCTGCCCCGCAAAACAGGTCATGTACTCATGTGACACAGCGCTCAGGTGTAAAGGGATACCACTTAAAATTATAGGATTCTTCATGTTGATAGTTGTTGCACTTCAGGAAACACAAGACAAAACGCTGAACTGTGAACGTGGACTTACGGTATAAATCTTTGGAGGTGTAAAATGGGGTATTTACAGGTAGATTTACGCACGAAAAAATCCTGTCGGAATGTTCGATTTTGGAAGGAGTGGTGTTTATTAACGAAAACCACATTCACAGAATTTTGTTCGACCAAGAAAAATCTTCCGACATCCTCCTTTGAATTTTGTTGTCACTGAGGTTACAATCGATCAATGATTATAATCTGCTTTGAAGTAACACTAAACTCAGGAGTTAAAAGGAGAACTATGGGGTTATGGCTTTTCCCCATAGTTCTCCTAAGAGTAGCGGGAGGACACAAACTATCGTCCTCCCATCACTCTAAGCTCAGTATACCGCGAGCTACAGCTTGCGGTATACTGAGACGCCGCAGCTGAAACGGATCCCGACAATTATGTCTGGATCCGCCCAGCTGCGTGAGTGGCAGCTGGCTCTGCCTATCTAGAGGCAGAGCCAGCAGTGCCCGCCCCTTCTCCCGTCCGTTCCACCAGTCAGCGCTGGAGGATCGGAGCGGGGAGGGGGGAATCCAGTCCCACCCCTGTCACGGCTCTCTGCCGTGACAAGATCGAGAAGTGAGCGAACGCCGGCATGTGTTCGCTCACCTCCTGAACTCCTGAGCCGACCTGTGACAGTCTCATTGTCACAGGTCGGCTAGAACTATGAGGATGAGTGAAAAGCACTCACCTCATAGTTCTCCTTTAAAGTGATATTAAACTCGCTTTTTTTTATGCATGGGAGGCCCACATGGGATGCAGATCCTTGGTCCTCAGATCCTTGGTCCTTTTTTTTTTTCAATACCTTGTTCTCTAGTGGGTCCCCGCATTGCTCACCCTCGCGCCCCCTGCATGGGTGTTTCCATCAGCTATGTTGTTGTGGAGAGACCCGTGCGTGTGCATTTCCGGCCATGCCCGCAAAAAGCTGTATGCGTCCATAGACACACACATAGCGTGTGGCATGTGAGGGGGGGGGGCAGGCCACACCCCCCTCACATCAGTTTGACTGACAGCAGAAGGAGCCTATATCTCTTCTGCCCTCTGTATCCTCCCACTGTAAGCATGAAGTTCAGGGAATGGAGGATTGCTCTCAGTGACAACGGTGTGCACAGGTAAGGGGGGGGAGTTTGCACAGAAAAAGATACTGGGCATTTTTTACCCTAATGCAGGGAATGCATTAAGGTAAAAACGACCAACCTTTAGTAATACTTTAAATCTTAAAAATTAGTTCAAGTACCTTAACTATTAACAAGAATGTAAGGTTTGTTTGTGTATCACTCGGCTGTAGATCCTCAAATAATCTCTGGATTGGTGCCGACACTGTCCTTCCTTCTGGAGGGTGGCTACTTCTGTTCCTAATGGTTCCTGTGTGTCTTGTAAAGTAGCCACCACTCCAAGATCACTTTTGTGATGGACTATAATCTCACGTTCTGTTTACTAATTTGTGTAGAGATTGTAGTCCATCACGGGAGTGAGCTTGGTGTGGTGGCTACTTTACATCACACACAGGAACCATGGGGACAAAAGTAGTCACTCTCCCGGACAGTGTCATCATGAATTCAGAGATGATATAAGGATCTACAGCTGAGTGAGACACAAAAAAAAAAAAAAAATCTACATTTTGATAATAGTTAAGGTGCTTGAATGCATGTTTAAGATGTAACTGCTGAGTTTAGTGTCCCTTTTGAGCATAAACCAGGGGACACACAGTGGAGGATGCGGTGTATGGTATCATCTGATGTCTGACTCAAGCTCTGGATTTTTTTACCTGTGGTTTCCTTTCCACAAAAACGAAAGTGGACACACATAGGAGAGCAGAGATAACAGGGAACTGTCACCGGATGTCTGTACTGGGGACACAGTCCAGGCACTCTATATACTTATATACGTCCCGGGGGGAGATTATACTAGACATGCTATTATGTATGAGCACAGAAGAACTCTAGTACGCAGTCACTACGACCTAGAGGCTTCACCTGTCATCCCGAACAGGTGACAAGGAAAGGTGCCCAGGGAGTGAGCCCGCTTATGCCGGACACTGGGTATACAAGGCAGAAAACACTGCACTATAAAAGACTCAACTATTTCCATAGAACGGGGATCTGTGGAAGCTCCGTCCTGTCATACTTCGCTGAACGTAATGAAGACAAGGTGTCTGTCTCACCGCTCAAATCTCGAAGCCTTCTGTCTCCAGCCGCACTCCGTACACATAGAAGGCCCCACAGTCGGGATTTCCCCGGTGATTCCAGAGGGAGGAGCAAATTCTGGTCACATGACTCTGCCACCTGCTCTGATTACACGCCGCTCGGTGATGTAAGAGCATTGGCGGCCATGATTGAATTGGGCAAGAATCACATGGTTGCCAGAATGACTGTTTTTCCGTCATGATTAGTACTATAGTAGTACTATTAGTATAGTAACAATACTTGCTAGCCTGAGAGGGAGAAATGTACTCTTTTTAATCTTATTTTACCTCCTGAATATTACTAGCCTGTAATATCTCTTCATTATGAAGCCATGTTCCAGTTTTCAGCACTGTGACAGTTTGACTGACAAATAGTCATGCAACACTGTACCCACATGAATGTTATGTAATTTTTTAAATATATAAATTACCTTTGGTGCTATTTCATAACTACTGTATTTTTTATATTTTACTACATAAAGGAAAAAAATAACCCAAACTTTTGAAAACAAAACTGCTTCTGTTAAAAAACAAAAAACAACTAATCAAATATAAATGCTAGGGCAGTACAAATACCCCAAAATGGCCATATTTTTGGAAAGTAGACAAGGTGATCCCAGTTTTTGTCACTTTTTTGGAAATGAAGAAAGATGCTGATACTGACGTGTTTAAAACATGGAGCTTGGTAATGGTGCACTAGATACAGCACGTAATTAAAGGCTAAGTTCACCTTTTGCAAAAATTTAAGAAATGTAATAATTAATAATATATAGAAATATGCATTTCTTTAATATTTCCATTCAAGCCTGGAAAGCATTGCAATTGTGATCACTTGATCAGAGCTACAAAGCTCAGGCTTCTGTTTCAGTTAGGAGAGATGGGGAAGGACGGCTGGACTTCAAACTGCATTAAATCGCTTTGTACATACTTGCCGTCCTCGCTCTAGGTCAGGGATGTCCAAACTGTGGCCCTCCAGCTGTGGTGAAACTACGAATCCCATGAGGCTTTGCAAGATTCTCACAGCCACCCACATGCCTACCGGATAGAAATGCATCATGGGATTTGTAGTTTCACCACAGCTGGAGGGCCGGAGTTTGGACATCCCTGCTCTAGGTAGAGCTGCCCATATTCCTGCATCTACCTAGAGCGACTGGATGCTGCATAGCTGCATCTGTGATTCCTCCTCCTTCTCCTGCAGCTCCCTGACACCGTGCTGCACGCCTGCGGACCCCTGGTGAGACACCACAGCCCAGACAACCCACTGTGTCGCAAGGCCCACCTGTGAGTCGTACAGCCCATGTGAAAGTCGCACAGCCCGCCTGAGTGTTGTACGGCCTACCTGTGAGTCGCACAGCACTCCTGAGAGCCGCATAGGCCATCTGAGAGCCTGCACAGGCCACCATGCCACCTGGAGAAATCAGGGCCAACCCAGAATAACACAGAGTATGTAAGTTTCATATTATTTTGTATTGCTGTATAATGTATTGCTGGGATTTGTAGTCCTCTGTAGTTGGTCTCCTTACTCCCTCTCCTCGCTCTCTCCTCTATACAGGTGAAACTCGAATAATTAGAATATCGTGCAAAGTTCATTTATTTCACTAATGCAACTTAAAAGGTGAAACTAATATATGAGATAGACTCATTACATGCAAAGCAAGATAGTTCAAGCCGTGATTTGTCATCATTGTGATGATTATGGCTTACAGCTCATGAAAACCCCAAAACCCAAAATCCACAACCTCAAAAAAGTAGATTGAAAACCCCAAGAACCCAAAATCCACAACCTCAAAAAAGTAGATTATTACATGCAATCAATAAAACAAGGATTGTACATAGAACAATATCGGACCTCTGAAAAGTACAAGCATGCATATGTACTCAGTACTTGGTTTGGGCCCCTTTTGCAGCACTTACTGCAATTACTTTTGCACGATATTCTAATTATTCGAGTTTCACCTGTATTCACCATAACAAAATTGACACGCGCAGCGCTAAAGTATTCAGGTTTCACTTGAAGAAAAGGTGGCAACCCACCGGCCATCCAGAAGATAAAACTACAAATCTCATGAGGCATTGCAAGATTCTCACAGCTACATGTACAACTTCCAGAGGCAGATGCATCATGGGATTTGTAGTTTCACCACAGCTTGAGGGCCATGATATAGGAGTAGGAAACCTCGGCATGCCAGCTGCTGTGGGACCACATGGGGAGCTGGGGATGAAAGGGTTAAAAAAACGATTCCACAAATCAATCATTAATTTACATAACACAACAAACACGCACACGTTGAATCTGCTGCTGCCTATCATTCAGTGATAATTCTTCACTGACAAAATCCTCCTTCCTCCATTGTAAGAGGAAGGGGAGAATTCTCTAATATAAACACTTGAAGCAGAGATGGCCACATGTTAGAAGGGATTTTCATTAGCATGGCAGCCAGACAAATGAGAAAGATTGGGTGCTCCCTGCCCTCCTCCAGGACCCCCCTGCAACTCACAACTAGGGTGCAACCTACCTGAACTTTTTTTTATCCCAGCAGGCACATGCCATGGATGGATTACAAGGCCAGAACTCACTACCGGCCTCCTCCTGTTTATCAGCACACCTCACTACACAAGGAAGGGCTGTATGGACCAACTATGGCTATGATGCAGCATATGGTAAAATGATTGCTATGCAAACCATAGAGGCAGACATAAAAAGCACCCTCTCTACGGCGATCTTCTATCTCACAGAGTATCTACGTTCTGTAGTGGCTTGACTTGCAGTGGTGGAGCAGATAGGAAACCACCATGAGGGAGCCCTTCATGATTTGCAGCAGTTGGATATTCGCCGTAAAACTCACCCGATTGATATGCAAAGTTAGGTTGAAGATCTAGATGACCAGGGCCACCGCAAGGACTTGCAGATCCATGGAACCCCGGAATCGTCTGTGTCCGAAAAAATCCCTAGTGCTAGTCAACAACTTGCTAGAAAGACCACTGGAGTCGCCTATTGAGTTTGAATCCACTCAGTGAGCCCTCTGACTGCACAGAAGAGAAACGGACCCCCTCCCCAAGGTCAGTTTACTACTGAAAGTAGAAATAATCCAAAAGGCACGTGAACAACAACATTTCAATGGATCTGGAGTTAAAGTCTTCTAGGACTTGTCTAGCATTATCTTGCACAATGACAGGGCTCTGCAAACTCTCTTGAACGTCCTCAATGAATGGCATATCCTTTACCACTTTCCATTTAGTCTTTCTGCCAAGGCCGTACAGCCACCCTTTAAACCTTGAACAATCTGTGGTCATTCTTCCAGAAACTATGGATCCAAATCATTGAGGTATCTAAATAATAACAAGAATTCCTACTCCCAAAGGCCTGGACCAACCTGGCTCCCCTCATGAACCGATGGAGTCTTAGCAATAGGTGTAGCTGTTCTCCATAACACCACTGCGGGTTTGCAGAGAGCAGCACGGACAGCAACCAAGTCAACAAATGTCCTTAATTGCAGATGTGTCAGAATGAGCGAGAGAGTTATCTATCCAGGACACTGACCGTTTCTGTTCTTTTTTGGCAGATACATTTATTTTTTCCCTAAACGTTAGCACATTTCTTATATGTTTGACATTTGCTTACTTAGGCAATGCTGTGGTAGAGATGGAGCTTTGGTTGAGGGAGTTTGACTCATAGACTGAGAGTTATCTATCTATGTGAGTAATGACAACTTACATACTCCTCCTATTAGAGGTTTCCTTATATTAAAGCAATTGTTATTGTAAGTTTGCAAATATAATCTTTTATTATAATGTAAATGCAGGTACCTACAGCTGCCTTCATGTGCTGATATATAACTTGTAGAGTATCCCCGGAACCCTGATAGCTGGAAAATAGATGGCTGGTACCCTCTACCATGTTCACATTGTCACCATAATCTACCTCTGCAGATGATCAATAATTACTGCTATTCCAGTTGTAGAGCCCCCAGACCTTTCTTAAGCTGCCCATGCACCTTACAACCATCGCACAACTTTCGTTGTGCGATGCTTATAAGGTGGTTAAAACTTCATACGACCTCCCCATCTTGGACAGGCAGATCGTATTGCTATCATCACAAGCCCTCCCCGCCTAGGGGAGGGCTTGCCGATGATTGCAATGCTGAGCGGGCAGTGTGCGCTTGCGCACACCAGCCCGTGCAGCTTTTGTCTTCCACACAAAAGCTCAGATCATAGGACCGGCAAGCCACAGATTGCTAATTGTCTGTTGCCACCCTTACTGCTTCTTGCACCTTGCTGTGTAGAGGGGATACAAGTATTAAACTGTACCAACCCTCTGGTGAAAAACATCTGGCATTTTTAAATAGCATTGACCCTATCATGGCCCAGTATGCTGGTATTTGGCGCTTGGGGACTGGAATAAAGAGACTTACAGGAAACCCACAGAATTCTTTCTTATCTCACATACCCCAGCAAAGGATGAAGCAGAATATAACCCTTATTGCTAGATCTGATGTAGCCCCACTGTTCACCCCACCTACAGCAGGTGTATTGTGGAGAATGCTAGTGTGCCATATACTGCTACCTACTTGTACCTGAGAAACTCTCATGCTCAGTAATTTGTTGTGTGTGTGTGTGTGTCTGTGCGTTTCTCAGATGCGTGTCTGTGCGTTTCTCAGATGCGTGGCCATAATCTGTTTGCCTTGGTACTAACCAGAAATGCTTGCCGCACGGCAACAGACTGAGAGGCCTCACAGAGAGACTACACCGACCCCTCGGATATATAGTTTGTTTTTTGTTTCAGTCTGCCACTGTCTCTGCAGTGACTTATGGGGACCCACTAGCTTGCAGTGCCCTCACTGCTCACATCATTGATGGGGAGATAAGTTGATAGCTGGGGGAATTCTGGCGAGAACTTGATAGTTGGGGGAGTTCTGGCAGCAACCAAGACTAAACATTAAAAAGGGCACATTGAACTTTTCATAGCTTGTTCCATTCACCACTAACCGGAGCTTGAGACTAGAAACTCTTGATTCTAAGAAGCTTCACTAGCCTTATAGATTAGCTGTC